TCCACCATTGTGCAGGTACTATTGGTGCCGGTGTTGAGCAAAGCAAGGGAAAAGAGAAGGATAGTGATGCTCCAGTCGTTTCACAAATGCAAAAAAAAGAAAAATAGGTTGTACAAACCACATACCAAGTGCAAATGAAAGGTAATTACCAAATTTTGAAATAATAAAAGTAATTTTAGTTTTTCATAACAAATGTGCATTAATTTCATTGAATAGTGTAACATACAGTGTGAAGGTTGAATGTGCAAGTTATATTCCTTCATTGTGCAGGTTCTATTGTTCCCGGTGTGAAGCACAAGAAGTGAAAAGAGATCGTTGGTAATGCTGTATTGGTAGCAGACACGCATAAAAGGGCAAAACAGGGTGCAAAAACAAGTGACCAAGTGCAAATGAAAGGTAATGTGTATGTTTTCAAATGTGAAATAGTAGCAGTACATGTTATGACATTGTTTTAACAATGTTTTATATGCTTAAAAATGTGCAGATACATTGTTAGTGAAAAGGGTGGAGTTCAAGAAGCGTGCTAAGCAAGTTTCTTAGTTTTACTAATTCCGAAAGTGCGTCACAAAGCCCGCGTCGTAGTGCTTGAAATCATAATAAAACAACAAACAAAACCAGAGATGAAGTTAGAGCCTCAAGTTCTGCAATTGTGCAACAAATGAATACAAGAAAAAATGGGGGGAGTGACCACATTGATGATGACTGTAGTGAGGATAGTGATGATGATTTCGAAGCGCCTCCATTCAATGGGCAAGACAGGGATCATACTGTGCATACTGAGGTTGGAAATGTGAAGAAGAGAAAGAAGGGTAAAATTACGTTGATGAAAGAGGGGCTGTCAACGCTTCAAATAAGATCGTCTCCTAATGTGATTGTGAGAGCAGTGAAGCTATTTAATGAAAAACAGAAGAATGAAGTTGAAAGAATAGGTTTTGGAAGTGTGTTAACTTGGGATATACCAGAAATACCTTCAAAGTTGGCACATTGGGTGGTAAAATCTTTCAACCCGAAGAACTGCAAGCTAAACATAAGTGATGGCAGTATACAGATCAAGGAGGAGGGTGTGCAGATTGTCCTTGGGTTTCCAAGAGGACCTAAACCGATAGTAAAGAACAATAGATCATCAAAATGTGTTGTTTTAGAGGAGTGGAGAGCGTTGTTTACCAAGAATGAAAATCAAATTACTCCTACAGAAGTGTGCAAAACAATGTTAGCCTGTACTGATGGAGGGATTTGGTTCATAAGACATTTCTTAGTGCTGCTCGTATCCATGGTAATAGATAGCTATCAGAATGGCTATGTGAACCATCAAGTTATGAACTATCTGGAAAGTATTGAAGGAATAAAGGAACTTAATTGGTGTGAATTTGTGATGTCATCTTTAATTGAAAACAGAGAAGCCTGGGGGAGTAACAAGTGCAAGATCTTCACAGGGCATGTGCTGTTTTTAATGGTAATATGCAATTCATTAAAAATCTAATTAATAGTATCATTAATAAAAAAATACATATATACTAACATCTTTGAAATTGCAGTTGTTTTATGTGGACAGAGTGGTTGTCTACAAGAGGAAAGTACCCAGGACTGTTCCGGTAGTATCTGGGTGGACATCGACCTTGTTGAGGGAAAGAGAAAATACAGAGGTGAAGGCTGGTGGTTTTGGTGAGGGCTACATTGATGAGCAGCTGGAATTTTGTTAAAAGAAACAAAGAGAAGAGTTAGCAATGAAGGAAAGAGTGGACCAGAAAGCGGGCACAAGTGCAGAAGGAAGAGGGATTGAGCAACCACAAACATGCGAACAGGTACTAAATTTGATATAGTGACTATCATAATGAAGCAAGTGTATTGCATTTGCAAAAATAGTAATTTTATTTGTGATTTATTTGACAGGATTTCATTGCTAAATTGGAGGCGAAAACAGACATGCTAGCTTCCATAACAATTGACATAGTCAGTTTGATTGAAGAAGCCCCAAGTGATGTTAGAGATCTGAAAATGTGGACAAAGTTCTGGAAGCCGCAAAGCAGCTCATTGAATTAGCACAAAACCTATCAGAAGACGAAACTGAGACACCAAGAGTGGTAAATGAAGGTGTTGATGAAGATGAAGAATTATGGTCCGACCCGAACAATTTAGATGCCATAGTTGAGGCTGAGAAATATGAGTTGAAGAAGATAAGGTCTAAACGTGTGCTTCAAGATATTCCCACTTTTAGCTTGGGATTTACACAGCAGCAACAAGATAATGTGGAGGACAGAATGACAGAAAAAAATGATAATGTGGAGGGAAGGATGACAGAAAAAGAAGCTTATGTGGAGGGGAGCATGACAGAAAAGGTAAAAAATTAAGTAATTAATTTTTTTAAGTGCGAATGTACTTCTTTATTAACGTGCATTATGGAGAGTTATAGGTTAATGAAGCTCAATTGATTGTTGAGAGGGAGCATAATAATCAGGTAAATTTAGAATGAATTACTTGTTGGTGAAATGTGAAATACTTAGTGAACTGAATGTTTTACAATTTATAAATAAACAGGTGCACAAAACAACTGTTGATGACAGAGTCAAAAGAACGTCCAAAGCAATGGTTGCATGAAATCACCTTTCGTTATCAGAGCTGTGGACACGACTGAAGCCATGACGGTTGTTGAAAAAGCAGTTGCTTTATGGATACTAATGGATCCAAATGGGAATACGTAAGTACTAGGTTTTGTAAATTTAAAAAAAAAATTACATTGCTATAATATGAATCCAAAAGTAGTTATACATAATTGTTTTGTCAGTGATGAGGTAGTGTTTAGAGTCAAGGAATTCTGCGTTACAAGATCAAATCTAAGATGCATGAAAGGAAATGGTCATATTGAGAGTATTGTAATAAGCACTTGGGCAACAGTACTGAACAGGAGAGAAAAACACAGGAGTTCTGATTCCCCATGCCGTCTTTTCACAAAACCATTTCCTTGTGTAAGTTATATACTTATAATTGTAATACGTTAAAGTAATTGAAGCCATAACAATATGTGTTGAATAACATTTCAGGTGTATACAACCGATGCCAAAGATATGATATGCTTAGAAAGGTTTATGTTGTTTGGAGAAGGAATAGAGGATGACTTGGAAGACATGAAAGATTTTATTAATCTTAGTGAAGTTGATATGGTTAGTTGGGTGATCTTACTTTGGTATAGGATTTGAGTAAATTGTTTTTGCATATTTCTGTGTGTGCAGATATTTGTTCCAATAGTGCAGGACAAACACATGTACGTGACATGTGTGAATCTGAAAAGAAAAAAACTTGAGATTCTGGATAGTTTTGCTGCGAAAGTTGAAGGCTATGGAAAAATGGTTGAAACCATAGTAAGTCATAACACACACACACAAACACATATACATATCTATATGTATACATTTTGGGTTATGGAAATACCATATTGTTAATTAAATTGTGCACTACTACAGAGAGATTTGCTGCTAGAGTATGTCGAATATGGCCCTTTAGAAGCTAAAGCTGCAATGCTGAGGAATGTTAAACCAAAAAGGTTGTTAATGTCATGGAGGGACACAAAAAACACTGACGACTATGGAATATATTGCATGAGGCACATGGAAACATATAAAGGGGAAGGTGTTCAAGCATGGGAGTGCGGGCTGAAAAAAAATGACCGGAGGCAGATTGGAGCACTAAGACTAAAGTACGTTGCTGCTATGGTTTGTGCAGATGTGAACGAGCTCAAAACAGAAGTGTTGATTGCTACGCGTGACTATGCAAAAAAGAAGAAAAAAGAAAAGAAGGAAGCAAACTGAAAATAGGAATTATTTAATTTTGAACAACTAAATGCTTTGGATTACTTTTTGTTGTTAGATTTTAAAGAGATGTTGCATATTGCTTTTTACTTGCAAGGTGGTTTACGGTAATGTTTCATTTTGCTTTAAATTTTGTGGTGAACGTAAGGTTGAGTAATTGACTGCTGAAATTACAAAATGTTTTGGATTAGTTTATATTGTTGTTTAAGACATGTAATTAGAAAAAGTCGTATTAGTATAACAAATAACATTTAGCTATTTATCTGAAATGAAATGTGAAAGCTTAATTGTGCACTTCTATGAATTCACAGTGAGGCAACACGTAATAGTATAACAAATAACATTTTGGTATTTATCTGAAGTGAAATGTGAAAGCTTAATTGTGCATTTCTATGAATTCACATTGACAGTAGGGTTTGATAATGAATAAAATCATTGAAATGTGAACACCAATTTTGTGGAAGTACTACTGTATTAATTACAACATGTAATAGTGAGAAAATAATGTATAGGAAGAACGACTAATTAAAATATTTAGTTTATACAGCAAGAAGGAATAATTAAAATAAAAATAAACTAAAAGTGATCCAATTTGATAATTAAACATGTCAATACGAAAGTATAAAAATGCCTTATACAACACTTATTTAATTTTGTTTAAAGGACAATTTCTACTATCATGATTGCACATTTCATTACATGACCTACACAATCTCTTTGGTCTCTTATTTTCTTCAATGGACACCTCTCGTGCACCTTTAATCCTCCTTCCCGATCCTTTATTTTTGGCCTTTTCAGGAGGCAAAACATTAACATCAGCAGGTCTACTTGCCCCATAAAATGATTGGATCATGGAATCCTTAGTCGTAGGAACTGGATCACTTTTGTCGGCCGATAAAAGTGCATACTTTTGCTGACTAATCATAGCTGCAAATTGTTGTAGTCTGCTTAGATCTTTTTCAGCTAGAGCAACACAAGAGTGCAAATCTGTCCAAACCTGTTGCATTATTTTTTTCTTCTCTTCAATTTCAGCACACTGTTGAACTAGAATATCTGCTATACCGTGTAGCGGTCGTAGTAGATGTTTTTTACACCAATGATTCACAACATAGCATTGAGGAATACAATTGAGCTTCGAGTCTTTAAAAGCAACAAACATATGCCTACACACCAAGCCCAATCGAATAAAGTATTTGCACTCACAAGATGCCTTGGTATCGGGGACATTGAATTCTACGTTGAATATCATACCACATTCATCTTGAATAACATAATCCAAATTCCTATCATGGTCATGCACACTAAGCACACGACAACTAAAACAAGCAGATGCAATTTCATCTTGCACTAAATAAAATACTGTGAGAGTATACATTTCCGCAGCGTGCTTTTCAATAGGCAGGAGATCGAGTTTTAAAAACAAGAATGTAGGACTCAGAACCAGAATTTAATTTATCATTATTATGGCGTTGAGCATCCATTGCACTTTCAAATTGCATGTAAAACTCAATGAGGCTAAAATGAGGATTAGTAAACTCACCAAAAAAATTATTCTCACTTTCAAATCTTGAACTTGTTCGAAGCAAACATCCCATGAACAAATCCCTAAAGTAAGACGGAATCCAAAACTTACGAAGATTGAACAAGTCCACAAACCATTTGTGGTCCAACAGGTCAAAATCAAACTCAAAATCATTAGGCTCTAAATAATGACTCCACACAACACCATTAATTCTTGTCAAAAAATCAACATTCTTACTAAGCACGGACCTACTTTAGTTGTCAACTTGTTCATTATATGCCACATGCAATAGCGATGTTTCACGTGAGGAATTACCTTCTCAATAGCAATGCGCATAGCTGGATCTTGATCCATTATTACGCATGTTGGTTCACTGCCCATCGCATTGATAAATCGAGACAAAAGCCACACATAAGAGTCTACATCTTCTTTCAGAAGTAACCGAGCAGCAAAAGTAACACACTTTTGGTGATTGTCTGCCCCGGTGAATGGCACAAAAACTAAATTGTACCTGCACAAGAATATAACATTTCATAAGCATCATAATCAAACAATTGTGCAATAAATACTACGTCTAAATAGTATTGAAAAATACCTGTTTGTACCATATGTTGCATCAAAAGAAAGCACATCACCAAAATAAGAATAATTTTGCCTACAAATCGAATCTGTCCAGAAAATCCTAGTCAACTTATCACTCTCATCAACATCATAATAAAAAAATGATGAACACACTTCAGCCTTTCGAAATAACTTATCAATCAACATTTGAGCATCAACACCCTCAATGTATGCCTTCAAATCTCGTTTAAAGTTTTTGAAATCTACAGCAGTCGCACCAATATTGCTATAACCACCCACGGACTCTTTAAAGAGTTTATATGACTTCATCGGACCAATATTAGCTTTCACACAATTTATGACAAATTTCTTATGACCAAAATCGAGATTTCTATTGAGCTTAAGAAATTGTTTGTGCATTTCATCGCATATACGATGACAATGACGCTCTTCAAACTTACACACGGAGTAACCACGTAGACCACAATATTCAAAGACTACACATGCAGGACAACCGCTTCTTGTCGATACACGACGCCTTCTTTTGGAATCGTCGTCTAAAGCAGACTCTTCTGAAGTTTTGGGTGAGGTGAAATCAGGTTCATCATCCGATGTAGACGTATTATCGTCAAGGCTTGAATTTTGCATGCATGAAGAAGGATTATTTTCCACATTAAGATTCTCAACTAAAGGATCACCGTTATGAATAGGACCTTCATTCTGGACAATTGCATCGGGTTGAAAACCTTGACGACTACAAACAACATGTTTTGACAAAATCGTACCATCTTTGTGCTTCCTCTGGGTAGAAAGGCGCTGAACAAAGCCACATATAGATGCATATTCCTTATAAAAGTCAATACCATCTTGTAAACTTTTGAATATCTTACCAATATTGGGCTTAATATCCCTATTACATTCTGGAATCCAATACTTCGTCATACCAGGAGATATCTCACAAGTACTTGGTTCTCCTACGGTTCCAACCACCATATCCGTATTTGTGCATGAAAGATAAATACAATGAGCATCAGATAACATGAAATGTGAACCGAACAAAATATAAAAAATACAGTTTCAAATAAACGTAAACGACACTAACAATTCATAGCATGCAGAATTAAATTGCAGTAAGGTTCCAGCTTTTGAATACATGTGATTATTTCATACACGGTGATGTGGAACATATAAAAAATGTATAAGAAGTGATCTACAACACAAACATGAAACATTACAGATAAAATATGAAATCAGGACGTAATTACCTGGTTCCATGGCCGTCCAATGGTATCGTAAAATTGTGTAAACAGAATATCGATGATGGCAGCCGGAGAACATTAACACGAAGGAAGAAAAAAATCATCGCAGAGTGAGAGAAGCAGGTTGAAGACGATGATTATTAAAGGAAACGTTTAAAAAAATAAATAATATTTATTCTTTCCAATAATATATGTGGGTAACATTAACTGAAGGATCGGTAAGTTCACAAAAAAATAAAAACGGAAAAACAGGTCAATACAACCGCCACATGTAAGAAGACGTAAATGTCCTTACGCACGGCTTAAGTTAATCGCAGATGCCTATTCATTTTGGATGGTTGGGATGTGTTCTCACGTTCTCACGTTAAGACTCGTTCTCATTTGAACCAAAATCTCTCTCTCTCTCTCTCTCTCTCTCTCTCTATATATATATATATATATATATATATATATATATATATATATATATATATATATATATATATATATACCCATATTATGATGGATAATTAATACCCGTATTGTATCCAAAGGAGAGATTGAACAGGAAAGAAGGAGAAGAAGTATTGTGTATTGAATGTGTGTTTGTGTGTAGCCTCCTAAAGGAGTATATATAGGGAAAATCCGGGTCTGGGCCTCTAATATGGGCCTGACAGACCCGGTTACATAAATGGACTGGTAGTATAAAAAGCTAATCTAGAACATCTGAATATAAATAATAATGTACAATGATATGAATGATATCTGCTAAACGTGTGTGGGCCGCTGTCCAAGCCCAATAGTCGGCAGACTCGGGGGTCGGAGTCCGTATATTCCATCAGGAGTCCCCCAATCCCTGAGTCGAGAGTACTCGAGGCGAAAGGGAGTAGTCCAAACTGTATCTGCAACGTTCTTCGGTCTTTGATTTCTTCCTCTTTGGCCGGGGACCACCACCCTTGTCCATGATGGCGAGGTGCCTCGTTAAAAACATTTACTAGGAACAAACCCAGTGGGAAAATCCTAATAAAGGGAAAAAGAGTACACTTAGCGCCCCCAACATGAACAAGAAGGGTAAGTTCCCTCCGGCATAATCAATTTTGTCTAGCTCAGTTCCTCTTCATCCGACTTAGCTCTCGTTCCTGCTCATGCGTGATCTTTGCTGCTCATCCAGAAAATTTGACCTCTCAGTCCCCCAGTCCCCCACTCCCTGAGGCGAGTGGAGATGAGGTGAAAAATGAGTAAAGTCATCTTCGTACCTACACATTTAACATGCATATAAATTTTTTTCTTGGGGTTTATGTTTCCGATCGGGAGTTCGTCACATGAAAAAAGTGGAAATATGAATTGTTGATGTAATGATAAAATACTTAGTAGAGTGGAGGTGTGAGCCATTTGTACGCAACGGTCACCACTCTTGGAATGACTAAGACCGGTCTTCGTGCCTCAGAGTCAGGGCTTTGTGCCTGAGGAGTCAGGGCTTTGTGCCTGAGGAGTCGGGGCTTTAAATCCTAGTGATGGCTCTCAAACCACACTCAACCAGGCATTTGATCATAAGTGCGTGATGGTTTGAACATTCGTCCGATAAAAAGATGATTTAAATAAATATAAATAATATGAGAATTAAAGAGTACTTATCTTTTTTAAGCGGACTGAAAAATGTGGGCTGGCTGGAATGAATAGCATCCACCAGAACTCCTTGGGCCCGTTTTAAATTGTAGAAGCCTTAGCCCATATCCACAGATTTGAGGCTCAATTTTTTGCCCTACGCAATCCTAGCCCACGTAGGCAACAATGCTGCAAAGCTTCTGCCCTTCTCCCATCTACAAGCTGCGATTTTTTTTATTTAATTGATTTCTAATAAGATCATGTGTGGCATGGCCCACTGCTACCCTGTCTTGGCCCAAGATTCCCAGCTGGATCTCATAGCTGACAGTCTGCCCTAGGAGGCCCCTTCCTTAAACATGTGGGCTGCGTTTATTTTCAGTAGCTCGCGTTAGGTCTAGAGGAAGGAGGGCCACCGCTCTGCTGGCTCGACGGCGTGCAAAGTGCAGGGGAGATGCACCGCGTCGATGCTGCTTCCGGACGCCTCCTGGTCAGGAGTGGCCGACGACGTCTCAAAACGCACTCAATCAGATGGGTCAGACATGCTCAACCGCCTGTTGATTTCTGAAAACCTCGACCGAGAGAAAAGGAAGGGCAGAACCCTTGACCCCCCATCTTGGCCTCAACTGGAGAAAGAAGGATTGGATCTAGCTACTGCCAGCCAGAGAGTGGGCGTTCTCGAAGGTTGCGCCTCACGGGTATTTGCGGTTGTTGCCGAGGAAGGAGAAGCGTCCTTCGTCCAGGGTCGTCACCAACAGAGAGTGGGAGGCGTCCAAGAATGAACGGCACCGGAACCGCGGTGGAAGAACGAGTGGCGGTGTTGCGTCTCGCTGGACAGCAAGGTGGGAAACGCCGCTGCAACCGGCGTCTAGAGTCGCCTGCCGGAGAAACAGCGGGGTAGAAGAAACAACGGCGAATGATGGTGCTGCGACGCTGTTAGAGCCCAAAGTGAGCTGTAGGTGCCGTCGTCATGTGGTGACCGCCGTTGTACGCCGATGTCCGGTGGAGGAACTACGAAACTTGTTTTTTCAAGATCCCAAAGTTTGGGGATTCCAATACGGAAACTACACCCGGCAGCCCACGACGGCCGGCGAGATCCGTGGCAATGGTGGTCAGCCGTCGATAGGCGGTGCTAGATCAGAAGTGGGGCGGCTGTCCTGGGACGTCGTTGCAGGATGACGTTGCTCCGGCCATCTGAAAAATCCAGATTTTCTTGTTTTTACTGTGTTTTTTGTGCAGAATGATTTTTGGTACAATAATAATGTACAATAATATGAATGATATCTGCTAAACGTGTGTGGGTCGTTCTCCATGCCCAGTAGTCGGCAGACCGGGGGGTCGGAGTCCATATATTCCATCAGGAGTCCCCCACTCCCTGAGTCGAGAGTACTCGAGGCGAAAGGGAGTAGTCCAAACTGTATCTGCAATGTTCTTCGGCCTTTGATTTCTTCCTCTCTGGCCGGGGACCACCACCCTTGTCCATGATGGGGAGGTGCCTCGTTAAAAACCTTTACTAGGAAAAAACCCAGTGGGAAAAATCCTAATAAAGGGAAAAAGAGTACACCTAGCGCCCCCAACATGAACAAGGAGGGTAAGTTCCCTCCGGCATAATCAATTTTGTCTAGCTCAGCTCCTCTTCATCCGACTTAAGTCTCGTTCTTGCTCATGCGTGATCTTTGCTGCTCATCCAGGAAATCTGACCTCTCAGTCCCCCACTTCTTTAGGCGAGTGGAGATGAGGTCAAAAATGAGTAAAGTCATCTTCGTACCTACACATTTAACATGCATATAAATTTTTTTCTTGGGGTTTATGTTTCCGATCGGGAGTTTGTCACTTGAAAAAAGTGGAAATATGAATTGTTGATGTAATGATAAAATACTTAGTAGAGTGGAGGTGTGAGCCATTCGTACGAAACGGTCAACACTCCTTGAATGACTAAGACCGGTCTTCGTGCCTGAGAGTCAGGGCTTTGTGCCTGAGGAGTCGGGGCTTTGTGTCTGAGGAGTCAGAGCTTTAAATCCTAGTGATGGCTCTCAAGCCACACTCTACCAGGCATTCGATCATAAGTGCGTGATGATTTGAACATTCGTCCGATAAAAAGATGATTTAAATAAATAAAAATAATATGATAATTAAAGAGTACTTATCTTTTTTAAGCGGACTGAAAAATGTGGGCTGCATTTATTTCCAGTAGCTGGCGTTAGGTCTAGAAGAAAGAGGGCCACCGCTCTGCTGGCTTGACGACGTGCAAAGTGCAGGGGAGATGCAGGAGTGGCCGACGACGTCTCAAAACGCACTCAGTCAGATGGGTCAGACATGCTCAGCCGCCTGTTGATGTCTGAAAGCCTCGACCGAGAGAAAAGGAAGGGCAGAACCCTTGACCCGCCATCTTGGCCTCAACTGGAGAAAGAAGGATTGGATCTGGCTACTGCCGGCCAGAGAGTGGGCGTTCTCGAAGGTTGCGCCTCATGGGTATTTGCGGTCGTTGCCGA